AGCGTTCAATGGTGTATGATTAAACATAGTATCGTGGTTAAGTCAATGATCCCAAGAGGACGATATTCGCATTTGTCTGATCGAAGTCCCAAATTTTTCTCTCTGGATTTTATTATTTGGATTGCCTTCAGAACTTCAGTCGGTGGGCCGGCTAGTATACCATCGTCGATATACCAGTTATGAAGATTTAACTTGCATTGGTCATTAATGTCTCGTATTAAAATATTAATGCCCAGACAGAACAAACAGGAACCTAGAGGGTGACCTTGTTGTATCCCATCGCTAGAAGGAATCAATCTATCTCCGAATTGAAGATGCGAGGGATTAGCATAACAATCGAAGATAAATTGTGAGAATTCTGGGTAGAGGGTGAGGATAGGATTTAGAAAGGCCCCACGTCTTAGAGAGTTAAAGGAGTTCGAGAAGTCTTTTGACTAGAATATCGTTGGTGGGGTCCGTTGGATACCTCACATCCACCTTATACGTTGACCCCTAATTGATTCGGGCGAAGGTGATTGGATATTGTGAACAATAATCTCCTAACTACTAGTTTGGCAGTTCGACGCCCAGTGGTTCCAATAGCGATTGGGTGAATATCTTATTGATTTATGGAGAGCGATGAGTTTAGCTCCGTATAGCAGTGGAATAATGGCTTGTGGTATGCCTCCAGTAAGCATACGGTTGATTAATTGGGTATTTATTTCTAGAACGTCACATTGTTGTGTTATGTGTAAAGTGCGGTTAGGTCTTGTAAAAATATTGGGCGAAACCCATCGAACCCAGGTGAGGAATCGCGTTTGAAGGAGAGAATAGCCTTTCTAACGTGACTTGCGGTATAAGTGGCCGCAATTAGAGGAGTTTCAGGGTAAGTCGGTATTTCATTTTTAATCGTGTGAGAGGTGTTTTAAGAGAAGGGCCTGATAAGTTACTAAATCGTAGGGAGCCAGCTTATTGTCGGAGGTTGACAGATGTAGGGCGGATTTAACATCCAGCTTATCCAATTTTTTAAATATTAGCCTGGTCTTATTTAATTTGGTTAAAATTTAAACCTTTCAATTACCTTTACAATTTAAACATTTTAATTATCCTTACAAATTTTATATTCAAATTAACTGTTTATTTATAAATAACTTTTCTTTTTCAATTATTTGACAGTTTTACTGGAAATTCTTGCCTGTTTTATGATATAATGAAATTTTTATTACTTGTCTTAAATATAAACAAGTCATTAAGATTAAATTATGGATATACTTAATTAATAATAACGCAATATTTGCTAAAGCAAGATTAACGATCTTGATTAGCAAATATTTCAATGCATTATTTTATTACATTATTCCTAGAATAATTATAATTTTTCGAAATAATAGTGATATTCTCAATGATTTCTAGAAATGCCATTACAAAATTACCAAAAATGGTATCTAATATAATATTTTCAAAGAATTAAAGTGGATATTAGCATCTGGCATAAAAATAATAATAAAATAAGCCATAAGAATTGTAGGCAAATGTAGCGCTTATCTATTTTTTTATTTTAAATATGCAAAAAAAAATGTACGTGTAGCTGTAGATTCATATTTATAAATATACATATTTATTCCCATGTTTATCTATATTGTGATAATAGTTGTGTTTGCGTTATCGTAAACGAGTTATGTTCATTACAGTTCAAATGGCCAGAAAAAAGGTATACTAGTGCTACGTCTCTAAAAAGGCCTTATGGCGATAAATTGTTCTATGCTATGGGAATTCGAGTTCTCTAGACCCCCTTTGCCCCGATCAAAATAATAAATGATTAAATTGCATGCAAAATAGATACTTACTATGTTGTAAGTTGAGAGAGTAACCATCCTAAATTATCCTTTGAAATTCGTATGAGACCTGCCCTGGGCATCATTGTGATGCTTCTATTTATCCAGTGTTAAGATACAATTTATTATGTTGGATTTATTATTTACCTTTATCTATAATTTCTATTTACCTTGTAGCTTGATTAAACGTTTTCGTAAAATTTTTTAATGAAATCATTTCATTTACTTTTCCTAATTAAAAATTTAAAAGGAAATTAAAAAAATAATTATGATGATCTCTATTCACAACCACAAAATAGGAACATAGGAATATTTAATTTTATTTAAAAAAAACAGTTTGCAGAGAATTTATATTGGTTATATTGACACAAACGCCTAATTTTCAAATTATAATGTGTGACAAATTATATTCTAATTACTATGGCATTCTTAAAATGATCTCGGATTAACTCCTATTCATGTGATATGTTGTAATTAAAATAATTTCATAATTAGATAATTAAATAAATATAAATAATATTCAAATATAAGAAAATTAATTAAATTTATAATTTGCAAAGATAGGGTTAATTAAACTTCACATATTTTAAAAATTTCCGAAGCATAATAAAATACTGGAAAAAATTATTATAAAATATATGGCATAATCAGCCAATAGTCAAATCGCTTAAGTATCTTAGAAATACATCTCCGAAAATAAAGGATTTTGATTAATAGCACAATCATTTGTCTTTAAGCGTTCTTTTACTTTAATAATTCTGATTCGCCCTTTATCTATTTTAAATTTTATCCAATATGATTTTTATCACAAATTTAAATTTTATTCTAAATATAAAATTAAATTTAAGATAACAATAAAAATAAATGGAATATAAAATTTAATTTAAGACATTCTTATTAAATTACAATAGAAATAAATGGCAAAATTTTATGAAAGTTGCATGGGACTTGGTTTTTTGATGCCTGGCTATGTCTGCAAAAAAAAATTTCAGGTCAATGTCCACCCCATATTTAAAATTAAAAATTTCGCAAGCATCTCTATTTTAAATTTTATTCAATATGATTTCGATCACAAATTTAAATTTTATTCTAAATATAAAATTAAATTTAAGACATTATTAATTGCGAAAGTTGCAGGGGACGTGGTTTTTTGATCAGGCCTGCTGTGTCTGCAAAACAAAATTTTGAGACCAATGTCTAGCCCATATGTAAAATTCAAAAATTTAGAAGCATCTCTATTTTTAATTTTACCCAATATGATTTCTATCACAAATTTAAATTTTGATATTTCTAATACCCTTAATGCTCACTGGTTACATTGCAACAATTTTATCTCTTTTTCTCCTAAATTTTACTATAAAGCATATTTAGTACCATATATACAAACTAACTAATTACCCATCAACCCTTTTATTCTTAACGGGTTATTAGCTAGTTATATTATAAAATTCCAAAAAATTTTCTCAATCACAGAATTTATAAAAATGTTTATAAAACCTCATTATAAAAGGAATGCTGGCAAATTACAACAGTTAATAGTCTCATTAACGATATAATAATAAAGAGTTAGAAATATATAAAAGTAAACACGAAAAGCGTTGGATTATTGTAGTAGGTTTGCACTATCTTCGAATTTGGTTCTGAAAATTCATGCAAAATTTTTAAATAATTGCTAGGATAGGTAATAAAAAAAAGAAGAAAAGTAAGGGAAAGAATAACTGAATTAAAGCCGTTAACAGTATTTTACTATTTCTTTTTTTTTGCATATATTATTAGAAACACTTGAATAATCAATCCAAATCTTTTATATAGAGACTATTTATTTGATACAATCCATTCTTCTCAATTTCATCTAAGTTAAAATTTCAATATTGTTTTTTTTCTCACCTCTTTTAATTTTGATTATTTAAAAATTGAACATTACTTGAGTTGTCTGGTTCCCTTATATAAGCTCATACCTTGTGTTGTTACGCGGCTCGATTTGAGCCGATTTTTGAAAACGACTAATTCAATATTTTATCCAGAATAATATTTCGCAAGCCTGAAGATTTTGCTCATAGATGGCACAAAGGTCTAGACAACAATTAGCGAAATTTCGAGGCTTAAGCAATATTTTTCTAGCTAAAATATTGAGCTAGCCGTTTTTAAGTTTAACAACACTACTCATAACTAACTATAAAATTTTGAATTATGTTTATCTATTCTATCTAAAAAAACAGTTAGAATTTCCAGATGCCCACGGTTCCTGGGCACCGACTATAGACGTTAAATTTTGTTTGCCTCTAAAAATTTTCAGGGTATCATAATTAAACCAGATCCTTCCTTGGCTGATAACGTCAAACGCAGAGATTATTGCACTATATATGGGGATTTCGCCGATTTTTGCGATGGTTTATATTATTTATTTATTAATTCCAAATATAAAGATGGAAGGATTATAATGAAGTCCCAATCTTTGATTTTAATCAAAGCCTAAAGACCTGGTTAAACCCTCTCCAATGTTTTTAAATAACAAAGTTCCACTAATTTAGTTCTGGTTTTATCAAGTTATTATATAATAACTCATACAATTACAATTAGTACAGTTTATAAATACGGATATTGTCATAGGAGATTAATAAAGACATCTTAATATAAATAATTATAATTATTAGGTCTGCTGGGCACGGGTATCTTACCTTTCATTTTTGTAAAGTAGGATTTAAATAAATTTAATATAATTTTTTTTTAGATGAACATATATACGAATACATAGCTCCTGCTCCATTAATAAAGCCTGGACACGCGTTTCACCCTATTTATAATACGCCAATTTTGGTCGTCGCAGGTTATCTCATTATTTTAGTGTGTTTTTTTTAAAACTTTTACTTAATAATTAACATTTATTTATTTAGAAAACGAATATCTTAAACAATTAACTCAACATAACATATTAATAATAAAAAATATATTACATTGAGATAACCGACAATCATTTTCGTTGTTAGGAGGTTATCAGTTTTTTTAATGATTCATTTGTTAATTGTTCTACAAAATGTCTCATTCAAAAGAAATTTAAGTAACTAGATGGCACAATGTTTTTATTTATTTGTCGCGCCAACAAAATTAACAATTAGAAATGTTAAGGGGGAGGAGGGTGGCTAAAGAAATATCTTTTTTTTTACAAATAGGGATATCTCATATCTCTCTAAGGATGACGTTAGAAACTTTGATTATGCAACCTGGAATCAAGCCTTCAATGATCATGGTATGCCACTTTTTAATTTATTCGTAACTACAATCTGAATTTAAATAGTGCTTACTAAACAAATACAAACTAAAATAGGGAAGGGTAAAAAAAAATATTATTTATATTAATAATGTAATTTTAATATTACATTTTTTAAATGTTGTTAGATAATATTATAAATTAGTTTTGTAATGATAATATTTAGGATGTTTTATAGACCATTATTTAGTTTACCCTTGATTATAAACTATCTATGCTAAAATTATGCACTTCTATAATAGGTGGCTTATGATGAATTGGTGCCAGTATTCAAAGATATAACCGAATTATTTGGAGCAAAGCCTCATCACATATCTTCCTCTTTTAATTATAATGGTAATTCTTTTTTATTTCCCCTATAATTGAAGTTTCCCTCTATAAATTCTGTTGTATTTCTGCAGAGTTTGAAAAAAGTAATTTAAAACAAAATTGAAGATATTTTCTTAAGAAAATTAAAATCATTTTTTAAAAATTTTTTACAAAAATAAATCCGAATTTTAAAATTTGATTAAAAAACTTGTCTGAGCATTCTCATAAACATCTAAATATTTTTCAAAGATCACAGATTTTTTAGTTTGAAAGAGCATTTCAAACTGCAATTTTGCGACATTTTTTAATAAAGGACATTCTTGTTCTAACAATTTATCTTTTTTTTACCGTCCGTAAGTTTCATAATTCCTATAAATTTTATTTCTCTATGCGTATATATTATTCAGAACTATTCCACAAGGCGTTACAGCAAGCTTGGGCTCATTATTCCAAAGTTAATATTAAAAAAAAAATTCTTAATGATTTTACTTTTGATAATGAGATTTTATTGAATTTTACTTAAAAATGGATAAAAACTATAACTAGTTGGATTTACTAGGTAAAACATGTTGAATATAGTAATTTTTGAATTAAAGTATATAATTAAAGTGGAGTGTGTAATAATATATGGATTTCGCAGAGTTCCAGCATGTGTAATTTTAGAAAATACAAATTAAAGACGCAAACATACATCTTCACACATCACATCTAATCCGACTTTTCCCATTCATAAGGAACTCAAAAAATTAAATAACTTGAACATTAAATTTGCTCTACATTTACCTGATTCTGAAGACTATCGCAAGCAGTGGCGTAGCTAGGAATTCTTCATAAGGGGTCGGGGGGAGGGGAGGTGTCCATTTTGTCTGGCCTTCGGCCGGGGTTATTTAAAAAAATCATATTTCTTTTTCTTAATGTAAAATCAATATAAATAGTGTTGTTAAATCACTCGATTTGAGTCGAATTTTAATAACGGCTAATTGGTGTGGGATTAAAGCCTATATATATTTAGATGAGCCAATCCATTCGTTTTGGTCTGACCATGGGCCCTCAAATAACTTTAAAGTCTAGTTAATATCGAAAATGATCGATCATTGGTTCAAGTAATGTTTGGGAGTGTAACTAATATTATTAAAAGTGTTTTGACATTAGTTCTTAAGCTTAAAGTTTGATAAAATAATCGCAATACGTCTACAGTGTTAATGGGCCCTCTGATATAATAATGGTGCTTAGATCATAATACCAAACTTCTTATTTGATTTTAGCTGTTCGAATTCTCCAATAATGTCAAGCATTATATTATTGGTGATGGCTAATTTTTGCAAGAATGTTGGTAATAGAAAATTAAAATATTTTAATATTTTGTATGCCCAGCTAATTTTAATTTAAATTGAGTTATGATTGTTTTTAATAATGTAAAAGATAGCGTTTTTATAAATCAAGTATTGATTCCATGATTTGGCAAGGTTTATCAATATTCTTAAAAAAATATTAAATATTAGTAGAAAAATGTTGGCGGCATTCATCTCAATATTCTTAAATAATTTAAGAAGCCTATTAACTTCATTATTGGCTAAACAATGTTATTCACATTTATAGTTTTAGTAAAAATATAATTCATACAAACAATTTATATAATAAAAAAAGTTTAAAAATATAATTCATACAAACAATTTATATAATAAAAGGAGTTTGGTAAATATTCACAAAAATATTTTTCAGTATTAGATGCATCTTTATCATTCCATATACTTTCTCATTTTCAACGTTTCAACTATGCCTTCCTATTCTACAAGAAAGCCAGTAATTGAATCTTGCCTTTGAAGAAATTTTGTGGGCGAATATTTTTTTAATTTTCGAACTTTTGATCCATCTATATGTTTTAAAACATCATAGAACACCTTTGACCTCTTCCTAAAACTTAAAAATTCGATTATTTTGATACGATATCTATGAAATAAAGATTATATAAATTATGTGAATAATTATTTACTTAAACTATTACTAATCTCATTAATTCCACAGGCTTTGGATATAACTAAATTAAGCGAATGACAGTGCACATAGATAGCTTTAGGGCACTTTTTTATATGGGCTTTGAGCCCATATATTTTTTTAACATTGCTGCAGCACTATCATATCATTGGCCACGGATTTTGGTTATATCTATATTATTTATTTTTTCTAAAAAACATGATTTGTTTTGCAATGCCTAAATAAGCGAAAATTTGTGAATTCTTCATCTAAAAAGTAGCATTGGCTTTGCTTTGGTGGCCACTACTTTGCTAGTATTGTATAGTTTAATATCTAAAATATTATAAAGGAAAATAAAAAAAATTAATATGCACGGTATGCAGCGTCTACATGAGCGGGAGAGGTAGGAATAATTCGCATCCTATTTTTTTGAGGTGGGTAGGGGGTAGGCTGCTTTAATGGGGGTAAGATAAATTTTTTGGTGGTTATCTATTAATTTTTGAGAGAAAATACAAAATTTATTGCTGTAAAAATTAATACTTTTATCATAGAATTATTATAATACAATTCATCGACCAAATCTATATATTGCAAACAATCATTCACATTGTTTTCCAAATAAAACTTTCTACTATTTTTTTAAATGTAATTTAAAAGTTTAGATATTATTTCAGCAAGCTCATAATGCCATAATAATTATGGAGGTTTTAATTGAATTTATTATCTAAAAAATAAATTCTTTATATTCACAAAATATCATAGTTGGTAGTAGAGATAGATTAATTTAAGTTATCCTTTATAAAGTCTCTGAAAAGAGTATCAATAAATTAGAAAGGTAAAAATAATAATAGGAAGACACCGCCGCCGAAGACGGCGAGATTTTTTTAGGGGGTAGGCAAAGGCTTTTGAAGGGGGTTTGCATCCAGTGAAAATCCTGTCATGTAGACGCTGACGGTATGAATTATCTATAAGATTATTATTTTTAATTTTTAATTATATCACTGGTATTCATCATTGGTGTGATATTTAATGTTGTTTCTATTGATAATTAGTAAAAATATTATATATTATAAAATACAGTGGCGTCGCTAGGGAGGGGGCGCGCAGGGGCTCAAGCCCCCTGAAAAATTTGATTAGCCCCCTGAAGCAAATTTTTTTTTTATGACTCTTTAATATCCCCTTGAACTAAAAACAAATTTTTTTAATTGCTCCATAAAATTTTCTTTTATAATTCCATTGAGTAATATATAGATTTAATTTTATTATTTAAAAATTAATAAGACTATCTAAATTTTTATTAAATGAATACTATTTTAATTATTAGATTATATTAATACATATAAATCAGTGGCGTCGCTAGGGGGGAGCGCGGGGGCTCGAGCCCCCTGTAAAATTTGTAGCCCCTTGAAGCAAAAAAATTCCTTTAATGGCTTCTTAATATCCCCTTGAACTAATAATAAATTTTTTTAATTGCCCACTGCACTGAATGATTTCTTTTATAATTTTATTGAGTAATATATAGATTTTTTTATAATTTAAAAATTAATAAGTCAATCTAAATTATTCTTAAATAAAAAATTTTTTAATTATCAGATTAGATTAATACTTATAAATTATATTTTCACTATGTCAGCTTGCAATCAAATTCTGTGTTTAAAATAGAATATTAATATCACTCACTAAATATTAATTTAGCATTAACAGTTGAAGCTTTATTGTTTTTTTTTATGTGGATTATTATATAACGCTAATTAAATAAATATTACTAATCAACTATATTATTGATATTTAAATTTAATTACCATGCCTCTTCTTCTTAAAATTATTTTCAAAATCCAAATCCAAATAAGTATAAGAAATTTATTTATAAAAAGTAAGTAAAAATATAGTTAATAATCCTATTAGATATAATTGATTATAAAATATTAGGTTAAATACCACTTTTACAGACGTATTTGACAGTTATATATTATATTACAGTTAATATTTTAATAAATTTTACTAATAAATGTTTTTGATAATAAATATTATAGGAAATTGTTCTCAAATATTTAACTCCATCTATTTATTTAGAAATATTTTTAAAAATTTAACATCTTATTATTTATCCTAGAATGGGTGTAATAAATTAGATAACTCTTCTTCTCTTTTTATATGTTTTTAGGAAAGCTATTTTTTTCTTATTTGAAAAACAGTTATGAGTTAAATTTTTAATACTAGTATATTTTTGATATTAATACAAACTACTACTATTTTAAGATAAAATATACCAACTAGAGGTAGTGTGACAATAATATATAAAATCTTAATAAATTTCTTTTATCATATCATATCACTCTGTTTCTTATTTTATAGTTACAAAATGTTTCATTTCTAATATGGCATCCCTGCCTTGTAAATGACTTAAGGCTTCAATACATTTGCATAATTTCTTCTAAAGATTTTTAGTGTTAATGTTTTATCAATTTATCTAGCATAATAAATTCTGATATAAGATTATATAGTGAGTGTCATGGCTATGACTGCAAATTAACAAGCATCTATTATTTGTGTGGCTATCGCTATGTAATTAAGAATATTATTACAACTGCTGAGAGTAAAGCAATAGTGATCAACTGTGTAGTTGTTTATATATCAATAAAAATGTAAGATAATCTTTTAGAAATTTAATATCTCACAATTTTTTTCTCAATTACTTATCTAGCTTTCATCATGTCATTTAAGAGGAAGCTCTAACCACCATATAGTTTTATGATTTAGATTGGTCGTTTATATTCTCTTTTTCAAGAAATGTTGATTTGGTTAGGCCTATAAATTTTTACTTATTAGTACATTCTATAAAACATTGTCTAAAAATGGTAACCGAGTGTTTAGTTTCTTGACCTTTTGTCAATGTAAGTTGCTAATTTCATAATATGTAGTTTTTAAAAACCATTATCAATTGAGGCATATGTATGAATTAATTAACCTTTTTTATCACTTGTAATTCCTTAGACGCAAATTTTTTATATCAGCAATCGAAAATATTTTATACTGTATTAAATAGATTTTGTAAGAAATGTCATATTATTTTTTTTAGTTGAGCCCCCTGAGATTGTAAAGGCTAGCGACGTCCCTGATATAATAATGTATTTATTAGCTATTTTGATTTGTTTTAATTTTTGAGCTACCTTAATTGAAACAATTTATCATTGAATTTTGTTTTATTTGATTATTTGAATGTATGAATAATCTATAAGGCTTGGAAACTGAAGGACGAAGAGGACGCAGGTTCGATCCTGGTAAGGAGCATAAAGTTTTCAGGTTTTTCTTCGATGACTGATGTGTAAAGACATATGGTAAGATGAATTTCGGAGCTTCGAGATGACACCCCGGTCACCGACAGGCCTGGACAGCCGGGTGCTTAGGATACTTGTCCAATATACAAAATGAAGGAAACAAATGAAAATATGAATATGAAAGCTAGGGCGTTCCCTCCAA